TAAGTAGGATTGAAAGAGACACTGAGTGAAGAGATAGTGAACAGGTTCTACCAGAGCAGCAGCACACTTCTGGAGTATTATAGGGGGGATGCCATCACCACCCATTGACTTAGATATGTTCAGTGTGGAAAGTACAGCAAAAGTGTCCTCCACAGTTATGGAGATGGAACAGATTGACTTGTCTGGGAAAGGTAAGTTAGATACATCTATGTCTGTGTTGGATGAGTTAAATACGGAGTGAAAGTAGTTATTGAAAGCAGCTGCTTTGTCCACAGCTGTAGAGAGTAGTTCTGACTGATGTTGCAGCACAGTAGGAATGCCATTACATTTAGAGAAGCTTCTGATATAGCGGTAAATGGCAGAGTCCTTTGAGAAGGCAAATGCCTCAACTAGGGTGGATTCATAAGCTACCCTTGCATCAGCAATCTCTTTGTTTATGGCAGGTTCTGCTTGAGATAAGAGAGATGTTGCAGTTGGTGATGGTCTGAGCCTACATCTCCTCCGTAGAAAGTGAACTTTGTTCAGTAGGTTTCTTACAGAGGGAGTGAACCATGGGGGGGGGTGGGAGTGTGGCCTCCTACTTATAGTTGGAGTAAAAAGTGAGATTGCTGAGAAGATGGTTTCTTGAAGGTGATGCCACAGAAACTCAATGTCAGAAGATTCGTAGTACTGACCGAAGTCATGATTGAGTAGGTAGTCAGAAATACTGTCAAAGTCAGCTTTCCGGTAGTTGTGGGAGAATCTAGGGGAGGTGTCACAAGGGCGGGATATGTGAGTGGAAAGAAGAAAAAAGAAACCCAGCAAGTGATGATCTGATTTGAGTGGTGAGGACAGAGTGCTTAGTCCAGAGATGTCTGTTTCTGGAGATGAAATGATAAGGTCTAAGATGTGACCACTTGTGTGTGTTGGAAAGTCTACAAATTGATTGAGGTTATGACGAAAAATGAAATCACAGAGAGTCCGAGAATATTGAGTGTTACCAGAGAGAGTAGACCAGCAGATGTCTGGGGAATTAAAATCTCCCAGTAGGAGTACCCAATTGGTGGTTAAGAGAGAGTTAAGGTAATCAAATAATGGGGTTAGGTAGCTGTTGTCAGAGTTCGGAGGTACATATACAACACAGATTATTGGGGAGCCCCTAGCTACTAGTTGTACTGATAGGATCTCAAGGTTAGGTGGCGATGAAAGTTGAAAAGATGGAATAGATTGATGAATGGCTACCATCACTCCACCACCACGTGTTGAGCGGTCGTTTCTGTAAATACTAAAAGCATGAGACAGAATTTCACCATCAGTAATAGAGGGAGAAAGCCATGTCTCAGTAACAGCAAAGATATGATGGGGAGAGGAGTAAACATACGACTGAAAATCACGCAACTTGTTTACAATACTCCTGGAGTTCCAGAGACACGTAGATAGTCAACTGGAAGCAGAAGTGGACTCAGGAATGGAAGTAGGAGCAGAGGGGAGAGATTGGGTAGCAGAGGTAGGGGCAGAAGAGTTGAGATCAGAATTGGAGTGGACTGTAGCCTGGGGGGGCTGTGCAGCAGTGTCAGAGAGATTTGAGAGTGCGGGAGCTAAGTCATCTAGCAATGGAGCCTGAGAATATGTACCATTGACAACTCTACCGTGTAGGCGACCACTCACATATAGACCTGAGTTCTTGATTTTAATAGAGCGACGGTTTACTGAATCGTCCTGAATAAGTTTCCACCTTTCAGAAAGAAGGAGCCTTTCAGCTTTTCTTTCTGACACAGACCGGTCAGGTTTGACAGAGATGTTGGAAGGTAGAGAACTGTGGTGTGTCAGAACAAAATTAACTTGAGCAGTAGAGTTGAGAGTGACAAGGAGGGGCCTCGGACGCCTGCTATCACAGTTGTACCTCCCTAGACGCTGACAGTCTCGAATGGAGCAAGCCAGATTGTGTTCCTCCTTAATATCTGAGAACACTGACAACACTGAGTCAAAGTCTTGTGAGACTCTGGCCCTGCGATGTGTGCCCTGAGGTGGCTCTGAGACTCCAAATAGAACGACATTAAACTTCCTGTCAGATACTGCCAAATGGGATCGACCAGGTGGGAGATGGGATTGACCAGGTGGGAGATGGGATTGACCAGGTGGTGAACCTGAAGAGCTACTAATCAGAGAGAGAGATGGTAAGGGGGTAGTAGACGTATGAGTAGTCTGAGAGCTATTAACTGGGGCAGTACTGTTTGTATTTAGAGCTCCAAGCTGGGCTTTGATAGCCTTAATGTCATTTGTTAGTAAACGAGACAGTTGCTCTTTCAGGAGTGCAATTTCCCTCTCATTTCCTGCCACACGACAGTTGAGGCAGCAAAAAGTGGTGGAAGACTGAGAGAGCTCATTAAAGGCAGATTTAGTCAGGCCTGCACAGCAACGGTGGTACCAGGCCTGACAAGAACCGTCACATTGAATGGACTCCTCTCCAGGTTTGTGAGTAAACCTCTTGTCACAGACAGGACACAGTACAGGGACATCACTGCTGACTAGGGTAGAAGACTCTTTCCCTAGAGAGCTATAAGCGTGCTTGATAGCGTCCATAGAACAACTCTCCAGTCTGAGAAGTAAGTCTGTTTTGTTGCCTTTGGTGTCAATGGAGACTCTTTTAGCAATCTGCTTGAGGTCAGCAAGTTTTAGAGACTTCAGATCGATTGGTGGGTGAGGAAGAGACGTAGCCATCTCACAGGAGTAGGTATAAGGACTCAGCCTCAAGACCACGTGTGCGCACGTGTGTGTATAGCTATGGGGAAAGAGAAACAGGGAAAATTGCTCTAGGTATTGAGACTGATCAGACTTAGTGGCTGGTCAAGAACAAATCAAGACCAGCAGAGTCACAAATGAGTGTGGTAAGTCCAAGAAATAACTTTTCAACAAGAAGTAGAGGAGCCTCAAAGGGATAACCTGTCAGCCATTAGTGGGCGTGGTATAACGACAACAAACACTATTTACTTGTACTGACAATACTTTAAGACCAGAAGGAGAAGGTAAAAGAATAGACTGGATAGACGAATCAATGGCTAAAAGGACACCACCCCCAGGGGACAGATGATCATTACGAAATATATTGTAGTGTAGTGGTAATATTTCATTGTTGAGAATGAATGATGAAAGCCAAGACTCAGTTATGGCAATAATGTTATATGATGAGGAGTATGCAAATGAAGAAAAATGA